AGGCATCTTTCCACCTGAACTCTGTTGGACCTGCGGCATCCTGTGACGCAGGGAAACTGTGTGGATCGAGGAGTGTCCGAGCCAAAATAAAGTGTTTAGAGACGATCTGCCGGTGTGATGTGTTTGTGTGGGTGACCCCAACGTAGCTGTGATGGCTACAGCGTCCTAATGCACAAAATTAGACCGCTCTTTGAGCGTGGCATGGGACAGCGGCGTCAGGGACACTGTGGATGGCTTTCAGAAATCTCAAGATTTCCACTAGTAAATGACCAGAAACACTACCGGTACTCACCGTACTCTAGGAAAAAGTCCCTGTACGCTGTCAGGTGTAAATATGAAGTACCAGTACTGCATACCGGTGTGTACCAGTCCATTTAAAGTACTGATTACTATTTGCCTGTGAGATCACAAGGTCCTTGTAACTGTCCCGAGTATTTTGTTGCCTTTAGGTAGTTTCATCCTTTCCGTTATGATCACCTTGCTTCTCTCGGGTATAATTCCACCATATTTGACATTCCCATGTCTTTGCAGTAAATCCTGATGAGCTGGATCAATGGGTCTATGTTTCCATTCTTGGCATACAGCTTTTGTCATGGCAGCACAAGAACAGCTCCTCAGCGCAACAGCAACAGTGTTCTCCGTCCATTGTTTCTCCATTCTGGTCCTCATGTTGCCCTATCAAACACCAGTGATTCCCTGCTGCCACACACACCCGACTTAAATGAATGAGTGATCAACAGGCATCTGCAGCACTTGATGTCTTTCTAAGGAGGCAATGCAAATATGCAATTCAGGTGTGCTGAAGCAGAGACACGATAAACATGCAGAGCAGGGGTCCTGAGGACTGGAATTGAGAAACACTGGTGTACATTGAACTGGAGGTTCTACAGTACAGACTGACGAACAGGTGATGGATAACCAATCAGAAATCACAATAGTTAACAAGCTACAGAACAAGTCAGTGGTGATAGAGGTAGAGATCCCACCTGACAAGAGCATAAAGAAGAAGGAACATCTGGATTGGAGCACTCGATTCTCTGACCCCCAAATTGGGAGACACCAACAGATCCTAACCTCAGAGATCTCTGTGGAGACACCAGTTCTGGAGAAGAACCCTGAATTCTGCAGACCTTTGGTAGATTATCAAGTTCAACAATTCATGTGGCAGTAAAGGTCAACTCAAGAGGGTTGTGACGCATTTATAATGTGAACTTGAGTATACGTTTTGTATTCATAGTTTTATAGATATAAAGGCATTTTAGTATTGTGGCAAGCTATCCTTTCAGTGTAAATATACAGTCTGGCCATGAACCATCGAAACCACCCAGTCATGGATTTGAATCTGCAGTTCAGGAACAAACAAACAAATAAATAAATAAACAAACAAATAAATAAATAAATATTATAATCAGCACATCCTCTCAGACCCACATCAATGAAATCAGACAGATAATAAAAGACTGAGGTCACGGTACAGAAAGTATTCAGACCCCCGTCAATTTTCCACTCTTTGTTATATTGCAGCCATTTTCTAAAATCAATTAAATTGATTTTTCCTCATTAATGTATACTCAGCTTCCCATATTGACAGAAAAACACAGAACTTTAGAAATTTATGCTGATTTAATGAATGAAAGCAAGACTGAGCTGACAGTTTTGAGGAAAACTGACCTGCTCTGGGAATGCAGCAGTTCTGTTGGTCTTTTAGGTTCTTTAACTGTGCTGTTTAACTGTGCTGTTTCCAGGAATCTGGGGGTGTTTTTGATAATGGTTTTAAATTTGACAAGCAGGTTAGCACAGTGGTCCAGCCAAATTTTCATCATTTGAGGTTAATGTGCAAAGTCAAGTCATACATGCTGTATGAAGGCCTTGAAACAGTGCTTCATGCTTTAATAACCTCCAGACTGGACTACTACGTTGGGTTAGAGGTCTCTCTTGTAAGACGCCTATAACTCGTGCAGAATGCTGCTGCCCCTCTGCTCACAGGTAGAAAGAGACATGACCACATCACCCCATCCTGTCCACCCTGCACTGGCTGCCTACACATTTTAAGGTTTTGATCTTGGTTTTCAAATGTCTTAATGGTCAGGCACCCTCATACTTATCAGAGCTCCTACACAGACATGTTTCCAGGAGAGGTTTGAGGTCTGAAGGCCAGCTGTTTTTAAAAGTTCCCAGGACTCACATGGTGACCCGGGGAGACGGGGCCTTTTCAGCTGTTGCTCCCCGGCTGTGGAACAATCTCTCTTTGATTGTTGGGACGGCAGAAACAATGGAGGATTTTAAGTCTCTTTTAAAGATTTATCTTTTTAGCTCTGTTTATCTTTTATTGTTGGTATCTTTTAAGGTTTGGTTTTACTATGTACAGCACTTTGGTCACTCTATGTGTGTAAAGTTCTTTATAAATAAAGTTTGATTGATTGATTTAAAAAGACAAACTGAAACATCACATGGTCCTAAGTATTCAGACCTTTTGTTCAGTATTTAGTAGAAACACCCTTTTTAGCTGATACAGCCATGAGTCTTCTTGGTAAAGATGCAACAAGTTTCTTACGCCTGGATTTGGGGATCCTCCTCCATTCCTCCTTGCAGATCCTCTCCAGCTCTGTCAGGTTGGATGGTGAACGTTGGTGGACAGCCATCTTTAGGTCTCTCCAGAGATGCTCAATTGGGTTTAAGTCAGGGCTCTGGCTGGGCCACCCCTTTGTTATTTCAGCTGTGTGCTTAGGGTCATTGTCATGTTGGAAGGTAAACCTTCAGCCCAGTCTGAGTTCCTGAACACTCTGGAGAAGGTTCTTGTCCCGGATATCCCTGTACTTGGCTGCATTCATTGTTCCCTTGAATGCAACCAATCGTCCTGGCCCTGCAGCTGAAAAACACCCCCACGCCATGATGCTGCCATCACCATGCTTCACTGTGGGACTGTACTGGCCAAGTGATGACTAGTGCCTGGTTTTCTCCACACATACCGCTTAGAATTGAGGCCAAAAAGTTCTATCTTGGTCTCATCAGACCAGAGAATCTTATTTCTCACCATCTCAGGGTCCTTCAGGTGTCTTTTGCAAACTTCACGCAGGCTTTTGTGTGTCTAGCACTGAGGAGAGGCTTCCGACAGGACAATCTGCCATAAAGCCCTGACTGGTGGAGCGCTGCAGTGATGGTTGACCTTCTACAACTTTCTCCATCTCCTGACTGCATCTCTGGAGCTCAGCCACAGTGATCTTTGAGTTCTTCTTTACCTCTCTCACCAAGGCTCTTTTCCCCTGGTAGCTCAGTTTGGCCGGATGGCCTGCTCTGGGAAGGGTTCTGTCATCCCAAACATTTAAGGATTATGGCGGCCACTGTGGTCTACCTTAAGTGCAGCAGAGATGTTTTTGTAACCTTGGCCAGATCTGTGCCTTGCCACAATTCTGTCTCTGAGCTCTTCAGGTAGTTCCTTTGACCTCATGATTCTTCTTTGCTCTGACAGGCATTGTGAGCTGTAAGGTCTTATAAAGACAGGTGTGTGTCCAATCAGTATAATCAAACATAGCTGGACTCCAGTGAAGGTGTAGGACCATCTCAATCAGAAGAAATGGAAAGCACCTGAGTTAAATATGAGTGTCAGCGCAAAGGGTCTGAATACTTCAGACCATGTGATTTTTCAGTTTGTCTTTTTTAAATAAATCTGCATAAATTTCTGAAATTCTGTGTTCTTCTGTAAATATGGGGTGCTGTGTGTTCATTAATGAGGAAACAAAATGGTTTTAGCAAATGGCTGCAATATAACAAACAGTGAAACATTGATGGGGGTCTGAATACTTTTCGTATCCACTGTATTTAAATGAAAACGTACACGTTTGTGGTTTTTGTGCACAAACAGATTTGGAACAAATCCATTTTAAATGCAAAACCTGGTATCATGCAAACAAATGTTATAAATTACAGAATTTGTGCAGATATCCCTGTAAAACATTGGTAATTTTAACAAAATGAACACGAATAATATCAGCACATCATATCAGACCCACATCCATTAAATCAGACAGATCATAAAAGACTTGGTGACCCTGAGGTCACAACATGTTAATTCACCTGGAACTTATAACTAAAAACACAGCATTATAGGAATTTTGTGCATAGTTGTAATGTAGCGTGTTGGTGTGCAGCAAAGCAGTATGAAGTGTTACTGAAGTGTAATCACTCTGTTACAAATCCTTGAACCATCAAGCTCCTCCATATCTATGTGAACTGGTCCATTACTACAACCCGCCGCGTGCTCTCAGATCTGAAGATAAGCTCCTCCTAGCTGTTCCAAATGCACGTTTGAAAAGCCGTGGAGAAAGGGCTTTCTCTGTCTGTGCACCGAAGCTGTGGAACACATTACCACTGCTAGTGAGGCAAGCACCAACAGCTAGCATTTTTAAATCACGCCTGAAAACTCACTACTTCAACCTAGCTTATACCACATAATTATGAACCTCACTTACATCTGCACTGTTTAAAAATGGACTTCACAATTATCGACTTCCATATTATTGAGGTTCTTTTTTTAAATGTTTTTCAAATTTTTATTCACCCTGTGTCTTATTGATTTTTAGCTGTTAGTTTTTGGGAATTTTGTTGTATTTTCCTTTTTATCTTTAATCTGTGTTCGACATGTTTGTATAACGCCGGATTAATTAACTAACATTTTTAGTGTACAGTGCCTTGTTTGGTTGTAATGCCTTGTGAATGCGCTTTATAAATAAAATTGGATTGGATTGGATCGGATTAATGAAATAATCTCAACATCTGAAGAAACACTGAACTCTCCATTTCTCAGATGTCAGACCTCGTTTTTTATCCTCTAGTAGTAATTATTTACTACACTTTCTGGGTCTCCTTTGTGATACGTCTTCCTTCCCTAATCATCTGGCTGTTCTACTTGTCATAACATTTCCACGGGTCTCAGATGTGTTTGGTAATTTTGTTGATGCAGCCATCAGTGCTGTGGCGCTCTGGGTAATGACGCTGTTAGCGAGCTCTTTGGTGACATAATAGTAAAAACTCATGGGATGTGGTGTGCTCTGGACACATAGGACATGTGGAAAGTACGCACGCACACACCTAAACACCACGCAGCATGCCTCTAATAACGAGAGGGACAGCCGTGATGCTCACAAACACACACACACACACACACACACACACACACACACACACACACACACACACACACACACACACGTGTGGAATGGACTCTTATTAGAGCAAACTGACCTTGTGTTTTGCTCAGCAGTAGGTGGAGTTCATGTTACAGAAGTCTGTTTATTATCTTTACTACGTGGCTTTGCTGAGGTTTTTATTTGCCTAAACAGTTTAAAACCATCTATCAGTGTCATTCCACTTCACACTCATGTAGTGATTTGTGTTGGTCTCACTAAAACCCTGAACTGGAGTGTTTTGTGGGACGTCATTTGCTTTCTGTTGCAGCAGAAACATCTGCAGGAGAGCTCATTGAGAACATGGAACTGTCTCCAGGAGTCACAGAAGCTCAGGTCAAGACACGCTGATGTGAAGAGACAAATTAGTTATTTTGACGCTGCTTTTAGTTTTAAAACTAACAATTTTCTTAATGATTTTTACAGCTTTGGCAGGCCCAGAAAATAAAACAGGTAAGATTTTAATGTCTGATCATGGTCAGTACCCACAATGCACTGCTGTAGAGAGCAGCCGTTTCACTGTAATAAAAATGAGATTACTTCCAATTATTCCACCTTCATGAGCCAATTCTTGTGAGCTAAACTAGCTCTAATGTTTTGGTGCTCATTATCATCTGACTGTGCTTTTATTGCAGGCCATCATCCTCCCTGACACGGGGGAGAGAATCCTCCTGCCCTTTAGGATGTCAGGTAGAACAGCTCAGTGTGGGAGTCTTGGGGGACGTGGGATCTAGGGGCTTGTTATGTGGTCCAACATGGAGGCGTTGTTCGCCCTGGGAACTGCCAGGGCTCAACGGGACTCTTCAGGTTGTCTCAGGCCTGCAAAAGGTCACACTCAGCTGGGGGCTGATTAAACCCTCTCTCCTGTGGTGACAGTCAGGTTTTACAGGTACGGAGGAGCTTGTATTTAGGTCTCACATTCAAAATATCCGAGGTTAGGAGAGAGGCTGCGGTGATTAATCTGTTGAAACAGCAACAAATATTGTAAGATGTGATTTAAAAAAATCTAATATGTAGTTTTTCCCCCTTTCTTCCATGAACAGACCAATCTGTTCATAAATGAAAAACACGGAAACTCTGAGTTGAATTTGAAATGACTAAATTAATGTTTAAGATAAAGAACAAATACTCAAATAAAACAGTAACATGAAACTGTTAGATAATATAAGAAGGATGATTTAACTGTATGGATAATAATTATAGTAGGCAGGATGATGTCAGGAGCCCCAGCTCACAGCACTCCAGCTCCACTCCCTTAGCCAAGCCATCTGCACCCTACTCTCCTTCACCTGCTCCACGTAATCACCTCATCCTGCTCACCTGCTCCACAGCTTTATTATCACCAGTCAGTTCCCTGCCAAATTATTGAATGCTTTTGTCAGTAAATTCTCCACCACTTTGAACCTCTGCTTTAACCAACAATCCTGACCTTGTTTCTGACCATCGACCTACCCATGTGCACGCTCCCTGACTGGATTCTCGCAGCTTCTGATTTTCTGGACTCCTGACCACTCAGCTGGACTCTGCCTCTGGATTACCCCTCCTGTTCTCGTCACGGATCTCACCTGTTCTGACACCTGCCTGCTCCCTATTCTGGGTATCACAGCCTAGCCCTGACTCCAGTCATAAACTTGTTCAAATTGCCTTACTGTGTGTGTGTTGTCTTCACGGGTCCCCATGTTCTGCTCCTAACAGATGATTAGTATTCAGAACGCGCTTTGATTGGCCACTAGAATATTTCAGCTCTGCCGGCAGCTCACTTTGTGCGCACATGGCGAGTTTCTACTCTCCGTGAGGCGGAAAATATTAGATCGGTTTGATTTGTACCTCAGCGTCTCGTGGGACAGAAAACGCAGTGGAAAATTAGGTGCACACAACGAGGTATCTGCTGAGAAAACGGTCATTCGAGGCAGTTTGCTCTCATGTGCGGCAGGCTTACCATTGACATTGTTTGCTCTCCAATGTTGATGTTTGATCTCTACAAACAACACAAGCCTGGAAAAGCTTCTGCTGTGTGGTGGAGTTGCTAATGCTAACAGTTAGCTTCTACTAGCCAAGATGTTCCCTGGACGCTAAACCAACAACAGCCTTCCCCATTGTGAGTCAAGATGGGTGAGTCCATGAATGTTAAGTGACAGTGTGACGGATCGGTCAGGATTTTTTTTATCAGTTTCACCATCTTCTATCAGAAGCTAATGCAGGAGATAGGTGTAGGAGACTAATTTCATGTTCAGCCTGCTTGAAAAACTCAGTGACCGATTTATAACCAGAAATAATCATTAAAAATGTTTTTCAGTGAACCACACCTTTGAAAATAGGAACTAGGATGTTGGAAGTATTTTAAATCAGTTGCATAGACAGTCATACAGACTGTCTTTAAACAGGTTTCATCCCATTTGGCACTCCAGCGATAAGGCTCCGTGTGTAGTAGACACACAAATCCAAAGTTGACAGGTGTCACCATTTTACTTGATGTCATTTTATTTCTGCAGTGGCTGAACCAGAGTCACAATGCCTGTGTGAGCAACTGCAACTGCAACGCCTCTAAGGTACAGCCCCCCCCCCCCCCCCCCCCCCCCCCCCCCCCCACCCACCCAGAGTGTCAGAGACCAGAAGTTCTGCTGTTAGCAATCTGATATGGGTTCTGCTTCCTCTACAGGGAATTCATCCAGGGATGTGGGGCGACGGTGGCACAGGAGTTAAGTGCTCACCCCGTAATCGGAAGGTTGCAGGTTCAAGCCCTGCTCAGTCTGTCGCTGTCATTGTGTCCTTGGGCAAGACACTTAGCCCACGTTGCCTGCTGGTGGTGGTCGGAGGGACTGGTGGCGCCAGTGCTCGGCAGCCTCGCCTCTGTCAGTGCGCCCCAGGGCAGCTGTGGCTACATCGTAGCTCATCCCCACCAGTGTGTGAATGGGTGAATGACTGATTGTGTTGTAAAGAGCCTTGGGGGGTTCCAGGACTCTAGAAGGCGCTATATCAAATACAGGCCATTTATCATGTGCAGGAGCGGTGACCAGTGCCGTGTCTATTGCTGTGAGTTCTTTAGGTCAGCTGCTATGAGGCGTGATGTCATCACATAGCGTGTAAGCACGGCCAACAGAACCCACCTGGAAGATCTGGGTTTCTGCAGACTCCATCTAACACGTGGTTGGATTTCTGTCTGTTTTCCCTATTTGCTCTTTTGATTGTTTTAATTGTAAATATAAACATTTAAAGAAATTTCTTTGTTTGCATGAATAAAATACATTTTTGTTGGTTATTAATGGTTAACATAAACTCTAAAGTCCATTTTTGAGAAAATATATCAACATTTAGTTTTAATCATTTTGATCGCCGATTTCACACATTATTGTAAAAAATACACCTAATTGCAGTGTGTTTAATTGACCCTGCAGGTAAATAGTACATTTGTACATAATTGGACTCAAATCCTATTAATTAATCATTCGGATCAAAAATTACTTAATTTATTTCACTTTCATTTAAAATGAAGACAAACCCACTGAGATTAAGAAAGTCTGAATGCAACACAAGCTCAGCAGACGTCTCCACCTCCTTCATAGATCTTCTTAGACCAGATCCTTTATTTTCTGGTGACTCTGCATCCAGATCCAGTCGTGAGCTGCAGCTCTAAACCTTTTTTACTTGTCGTTTAACTGCCAGTCTAAAGATATGAAGGCAGGAGGTGATTCATTTAAATGCCATTATGACCCTCATAACGCCATTTGAGGTTGTCTCCCGTCTGTGTCATCAAGGACTTAAATGTCCCAAGCGTACAACACATCCTCACACACCCGCCTGAGCCGGCCTCCATCATGGACAAAGCTCTCAAACTGAGCCAATTACTGGTCCTGCTGGGCCTCATCCGGCTCATGGCTTCAGGCCTGATGGTGACAGCGAGCACAGAAAAACATGGTAGGGAGTCTGGAGGGAGGAGCGCCAGGCCGAGAAGGGGCAGGAACCGTCCAATTAAACGTCCGTCCTGGTGACAACCTCCAGCTGGGCTGTGGAGAGCTCCAGGCTGAAGTTTCACATTTAACCTGAAAGGATTAAAGACACCTTCACAAGTTATGCCCCACAAACCGGCTTTACATACTTCATAAAACAACATAAAATACTAATATGGTGTTAGTATGTACTTACTTTCTATTTATGGCATGTCTCCATCAATTATTATAAAGTTAATTTAAAATAAAACGTTTTTTGGATGATTGTATATAAATATTTAATTTGTTTATAATTAAATTAAGAATTTTGTTTCTTTAGCCAAAATCCGTGTGTGTGTGTGTGTGTGTGTGTGTGTGTGTGTGTGTGTGTGTGTGTGTGTGTGTGTGTGTCATCAGGTTGGTCTGAATGTCTTAATTCAGAGGGCGAGCCGTGTCGGCCCAACCACCGTTTGTCTCCTTTCTGCAGTGGGTGAGTTTAAATCATCGCTGTTGTTAAAATATTACATACATTTCAGATCAGTGTCAGATGTGACCACACTCTCTCTCTTTTGCATGTTTCGGTCCTCTGTGTACAGTATTCAGCTGAGAACATGAACAGTGCCAGGCCTCTCGGATGAAGCAGTCTGATCAAACCCTCCGTTTCTGCTCTAAGAGCACAATTATCTGTGGGAAAGCAAAGAAGCGAGCCTTTGATTGTTTCATCCCACTCCTCACAGTCTGTTTTCATCTCTGCGGGGTCAGAGTCGTGCTGAGAGCTTTGTCAGATGTGTGTGGAGCCACCAAAGCTGATTTTCATGCCACCTCCCCGCATCACAATCACACCCAGGGGTATTGACCCGTGTCCCATAATGCTCCGAGCTGCTGGCTCATAATTAAATTGTTTGCTTGCCCCCCTTCCTTACCATAGCAGCTCTTCTAATTAAATCAACAGGTTTCTGCAGCCCGCTCTTTGCCTGGTAATTGGCTGCTCGGTGGAACTCTGCTGCTGCAAACAAATGGGATAATTACTCCTAAAGTGGCGTCTATGTCAGGGCCTCATTTACCTGATTTCAGTTTGGGCATTGTTGTTGCTGCCGTTGTTTTGGAGGCCCATGAAAAAAGTAATTAAAAAGGCTAATTGAAGCGAAGGAAAGCAAAGTGCTGTTTGAATTTTCACCCACTTGATTTTGTGTGGTTACTTAAAGCTAGATTTATTTTGTAAAAACCTAATCAAGCAGCAGCAGCAGCCCGCCACTCAATCAAACTATAAAGGAGGTAAATAGCAAATATTTGGGCATATAATCATTTACTTTTCTTTAGCAAATGTTTATTTGTGATATTTAGGACTTAATTATGTAAAATGTTATTGGTTGCATTTCCCAGGGTGTACCGGTTGTTATCAGATACAATTAAAATGCTGGTTAATGTAATTATTTTAAATAATTACAAATTACAAACAGAAATGTCAGCATTAAGCTGCCCAGATCTTACAATTATCATTTCAATTTTCTAATTACTGAGCTGTTCTTATTAATGTAATTACAAATGTGTTTATGTGAATTTGATCTTCCTCTTGCACTTTTTTGTTATTTGTTGCCAAAATCATAATATCTGCTTTTATTAATTGGTCTGAATAAAAAAAAAAAGCTTTAAGCTGATTTAATTAAATTATTTTCACAGAGCAGCCTGTCGTCCCTTCAGGCTGTGGGAGAGATAACTGGGTGCTGTTGTCTTAAATAAAAAAGGCTCAGGGCATCACTAAACTCTTTAAAATGACTTTCTCTTATTCCCATTAGAGTCAAGAAGAAAGGTCCATCTGCATTAACATACATCTGTGTTCATTTTTTCTTCCGAAAATAAATGAGGAAGGAGCTACACTTTTATGTTCGTGTGTGTGTGTGTGTGTGTGTGTGTGTGTGTAGGGGTGGGGGGGGTTTGGGGGGGTGTGGGGGGGTGTTTGGGGCTCGACACACGGGAGGCGACAAACGACTGCGATCAGCGAAATTCGCCGCTGTTGCTTTTATTACCTGACACACGGGAGGCGACCTGCGGCAGCGGCCAGCGGCAACACCGACTAGTGGGCTCGACACAAGGGAGGCGACAAACAACCGCGATCAGCGAAATTTGTCGCTGTCGCTTTTATTACCTGACACACGGGAGGCGATCCGTGCCAGCGGCAAAGCCGTCTACGCGTTCTGTTCCATGGCGAAATCGAAACTTCCGTTGTTTTGTTTGGCTGTGTCAGGTTGGAGGGAATTAAGGTTATTTAAGCGGTTCAGAGTTAAAAAGGTGGTAGATATGATGTTTCACAAGGTGCTGCTAGATCTCCCTCCAACCTGATACAGCCAAACAAAACAACGGAAGTTTCGATTTCGCCATGGAACAGAACGCGTAGCTGTTGTGCCATAAATCGACTCGCTGCCAAAAAATGATTAGCCACCACTGGATCGCGCACGGTTAGGTAATTGCATTTGTAGACGAAATTCCCCAGGATTTCCCCCTAAAACTCAGCATATCTAGCAATATGGACATTCAGAAAGCAGAGATAACCTCTTCCGGTACTTTAACAGATGTTTATCGCGGATATTAGTTTTTCCAGTTCGGAAGTTGCTTTAAGTGTTGCTATTTGTCTTAAACGTTCACAATGAGGATATTGTAGCGGGCCAGGGCTGTTCGGGGTTTGTTCTGTTATTACAGTTATTTGTTTGTTGTCATGTTGCTATGGTGATGGGTGACGCGCTCTCTCGGCGACTGTTTTTCCGGTGAGAGCGCGCCTTTTTGTTGTTGTTGCTGTGGCCGCGCTGAGGAGTGTAAGATTAATCGGGTGCTCCCAAAGAAACCTCTGTCTCCTCTGTGACTGAGCTCACCACATTGGTGTCAGAAGTGGGATTTTCACCCTCGCCATAATGGAGAGAGACATTCGGAGGCTGGAGCAAGCTATCGAGGAGAACATTACCCGCCTGGAAAGCTGGCGATTGAAGAGAGAGGATGTGAGCGGCCATGTAAGCTCGCCGATGGGTCCCGATGGCACGAGCACACAGAGACGGCGGCCCGCCGCGACGACGCTAGGGCAATGCTTGATGGGCTGCCTCCGTCGGCGGACACACCGGGCCCCCGACAGCGAGCAGTGATGCCTGCAACGCCAGCTAAAGTACCGAAGAATAAGGGGCTAACCCCACTAGAGTCCTACCTCTCACAAGTACGGCTAGCCACGAGACATAATGGCTGGAGCAACGGCGAGGCTGCTACACACCTAGCGCTAGCATTGGGAGGAGATACACTGCAGGTACTCCTCGACCTAGCCGCGTCAGAGCAGCATGAGCTCCAGGCCCTCACCACAGCACTCGAGAGGCGATTTGGGCAGCGGCACTTCACTGATAAGAGCAGGGAGCAGCTGACCAATCTGAGCCGTAGGCCGGGGGAGAGCCTGGGCACCTTTGCAGCGGATGTGTTGCTGTATGCTCGTCGTGGCTACCCAGAGTTCCCAGCAGCAGCCCGGGAGGAGCTTAGCCTGCATGCTTTCCTGCGAGGACTTTTCCCAGAGCGACTGCGCCAACACGTCCGCCTGACCATGCCTCAGACTCTCAGTGAGGCGCTCCTTCAGGCTGAAAGGGCCGAGCTGGTGCTCGCCTCGCCACCCCACCAGCAGGTAACCCCCCCAAGCTACCCTCAAATCAGAGCCGCAGACTGCGACGGGGAGGGGGCGGTCGCGGAGATATGTCAGCTGTGGCCCTCGATGCCTCGGAGGCGTCCTCGTCGTCCCACTGACCGCTGTTACCGGTGCGATGAGCCTGGCCACGTGGCGCGTGACTGCCCAGCACCTGCCCCGATGGTCAGAACTACGAAGACTCCGGGAAATGGGGTGGGAGCGGTGTAGTGAGGGGACCACCGCCCCAGCTTCCTGTCCCCCTCCAAGGACGATGCACGGTGGTGGGCCGGGTTGGGCACCTCAGGGGACTCTACCTGAGCTGCTGCATTGAGGGCCAGCCATGCCGGGCCCTGGTGGACACGGGGTCTACCATCTCCCTGATACGACCTGGCGTGCTCCCTGGAACGTCCGGGTTGTTGGTGGAGGGTTGGACGCCTACCGACACCCAGCTGATGACAGTGACAGGAGAGAGAACTGATATGCGGGGAAGAAACCATTGCAGATCCGAGTGAGGTATCTGGAGCTGATTCACGACTTCTGGCTGGCTGACATTTAAGACTAGTGCATCATTGACCTTGATCTGCTGACCCGCTGGAGGGCCTGCGTCAACACCGCAAAGCGGGCTATCACTCTTGGCACAGAGACTCTCGCCCTCCAGTGCGGGCAAAAGCAGGGAGCGGAGGGGACCTGAGACAGACGTCAGGCAGCTGCCGCTCAGCAGATTTCGGGTGCCAGTGGGTCCAGGTCATCTCTACTCACCTCAACCCCGGCCCCTCAGCCCAACAAATCTCCCTTGACCGAGACAACCGAGGCTGTTGTTGACCTGTGGCAGCGCAGCAGCGTAGGTCTCAACGCCAGCGGTTGAGGTGCCCCCTGGATGAGAATGTGGACATCTTTGCTGCCAGTGACAGACTGCAGGCAGACAGGGCTGGTCCAGCACACTATCGACACCGGCTCAGCCCAACCTATCCGTCTACGCCCACACCGGCTGCCCCTCTCAAAACGGCAGGTGGCGGTGGAAAAGATACGTGAGATGGCTGCGGCTGGAGTGATCGAGCCATCCAACAGCCCATGGGTTGCACCTGTGGTCCTGGTGGGGAAGAAGGATGGCAGCCCGAGGTTCTGTGTGGACTTTCGCCGTCTCAATGCATTCACCAAGAAGGACTCATACCCGCTTCCGCGGATCAACGAGGCCCTGGATTACGTCCGCGACTCCAGCTGGTTCAGCTCCCTCGACCTGCGCAGTGGTTACTGGCAGGTGGGGCTAGCCCCCGAAGCAAGGCCTAAGGCTGCATTCACCATTGGACAGGGGCTGTGGCAGTTCAGGGTCATGCCCTTTGGGCTCTGCAATGCGCCAGCGACGTTTGAGAGGCTGATGGAGAGGATGCTCGTGAACGTCCCTCGTAGCCGCTGTGTTGTGTACCTGGATGACCTGTTGGTACACGGTGGCGACTTCGACAGTGCACTGTCCCACCTGAGCGAGGTCTTCGGTGCCATCCGTCGAGCCGGGCTGCGGCTCAACCCTGCGAAGTGCCGGCTGTTGACGAGAGAGACTACGTTCTTGGGCCATGTGATCAGTGCGCAGGGTATCGCCACCGATCCCGCTAAGGTGGCGGCGGTCCGGGATTGGCCGACCCCCTCGAATGTCAAAGAACTGCAGAGCTTCCTGGGCCTAGCCTCCTACTACCGTTGGTTCATTAAGGGGTTTGCGACGACAGCCAGCCCCCTCCACCGCTTAACCGACAAGGGCCAGTCGTCTGGCTGGAGTGATGCCTGCGCTGCGGCTTTCGCATAGCTGAAGGAGGCCCTCACCAGAGCCCCAGTCCTGGCCTACCCCGATGCCCGGCAACCCTTCATTGTGGACACTGACGCTAGCAATGTAGGAGTCGGGGCGGTCCTTTCTCAGCAGGACGATGCTGGAGAACGAGTGGTGGCATACTTCAGCCGAGCGCTGGGCGAGCCGAGAGGAACTACTGTGTGACCCTGCGGGAGCTGCTGGCCGTGGTGCTAGCAGTGCGGCACTTCCAGCCATATCTTCATGGCTGCCGGTTCCTCCTGCTTACTGACCATGCATCTCTGACTTGGCTCCTGAACTTCAAACACCCAGACAACTTTGAGATCCAGCATCGGGCAGGTCGACAGCATGGCAATGCTGAAGCCCTCTCCAGAAGGCCCTGCATGGCCGTCGAGTGCCGCTACTGTCTGCGACAGGAGGAGCAGGTCCAGGAGGCACTGGGTGTGGCTGCTACTCAGGCCACAGCCAGCGGAGGGGGGTGGCTCCCATTGGCCCTGCAGCAGCTGAAGAGGGAGCAGGAGGCTGATGCGATGTTGGTGCAGGTGGGGGCCTGGCTGGAGGAGGCGTAATGGCCCGACTGGATGGGGGTGTCGGGACAGGAGCCCGAAGTGAAGGCCTACTACTCCAAGTACAACAACCTGGAGATCCACGACGGCCTCCTGTACCGGAGATGGCGGGCCCCCGGGCAGGGCAGAGATCTCCTGCAGCTGTTGGTGCCTCAGTCGCTGCAGTCGCAGGTGCTCGAGCTCGTCCACGGCT